CACTTTCGGGCTGCTGGGGGGCCCAGCGGAGTGACGTCCTACGGGGATTCAGATTAGACCTCGCCATCCCTGGGGGGCTGCGATCTGTGAAACTGTCGCCACTTTCGAGGCCGCTGGGGGGCCCAGCGGAGTGACGTCCTACGGGGATTCAGATTAGACCTCGCCATCCCTGGGGGGCTGCGATCTGTGAAACTGTCGCCACTTTCGAGGCTGCTGGGGGGCCCAGCGGAGTGACGCCCTACGGGGATTCAGATTAGACCTCGCCATCCCTGGGGGGCTGCGATCTGTGAAACTGTCGCCACTTTCGAGGCTGCTGGGGGGCCCAGCGGAGTGACGCCCTACGGGGATTCAGATTAGACCTCGCCATCCCTGGGGGGCTGCGATCTGTGAAACTGTCGCCACTTTCGAGGCTGCTGGGGGGCCCAGCGGAGTGACGTCCTACGGGGATTCAGATTAGACCTCGCCATTCCTGGGGGGCTGCGATCTGTGAAACTGTCGCCACTTTCGAGGGCTGCTGGGGGGCCCAGCGGAGTGACGCCTTACGGGGAGTCAGATTAGACCTCGCCATCCCTGGGGGGCTGCGATCTGTGAAACTGTCGCCACTTTCGAGGGCTGCTGGGGGGCCCAGCGGAGTGACGCCCTACGGGGATTCAGATTAGACCTCGCCATCCCTGGGGGGCTGCGATCTGTGAAACTGTCGCCACTTTCGAGGGCTGCTGGGGGGCCCAGCGGAGTGACGCCCTACGGGGACTCAGATTAGACCTCGCCATCCCTGGGGGGCTGCGATCTGTGAAACTGTCGCCACTTTCGAGGGCTGCTGGGGGGCCCAGCGGAGTGACGCCCTACGGGGATTCAGATTAGACCTCGCAGGCGCTGGGGGGCTACGATCTGTGAAACTGTCGCCACTTTCGAGGGCTTCTGGGGGGCCCAGCACAGTGGGCACCCACGGCGGATTCAAATGTGACCTCGCCATCCCTGGGGGGCTGCGATCTGTGAAACTGTCGCCACTTTCGAGGCCTGCTGGGGGGCCCAGCACAGTGGGCACCCACGGCGGATTCAAATGGGACCTCGCCATCCCTGGGGGGCTGCGATCTGTGAAATTGTTGCCACTTTCGAGGGCTGCTGGGGGGGCCCAGCAAAGTGGGTACTCACGGCGGATTCAAATATGACCTCGCCATCCTTGGGGGGGCTGCGATCTGTGAAAGTGTCGCCACTTTCGAGGGCCTCTGGGGGGCCCAGCACAGTGGGTACTCACGGCGGATTCAAATGGGACCTCGCCATCCCTGGGGGGTTGCGATCTGTGAAACTATCGCCACTTTCGAGGCCTGCTGGGGGGGGGCCAGCACAGTGGGTACTCACGGCGGATTCAAAGGCTGCTGGGGGCTGCGATCTGTGAAACTGTCGCCACTTTCGAGGGCTGCTGAGGGGCCCAGCACAGTGGGTACTCACCGCAGATTCAAATGGTACCTCGCCATCCCTGGGGGGCTGCGATCTGTGAAACTGTCGCCACTTTCGAGGGCTGCTGAGGGACCCAACACAGTGGGTACTCACCGCAGACTCAAATGGGACCTCGCCATCCCTGGGGGCTGCGATCTGTGAAACTGTCGCCGCTTTCGAGAGCTGCTGAGGGGCCCAGCACAGTGGGTACTCACCGCAGACTCAAATGGGACCTCGCCATCCCTGGGGGGCTGCGATCTGCGAAACTGTCGCCACTTTCGAGGGCTGCTGAGGGGCCCAGCACAGTGGGCTTCCCGCACGTCTTTCTCCTGCTCTTCGCTCCCGTTTCCCCATGTCCTCTTCGAGCCTGTAGCTGTTGCCCTTCTTTCTTGTATGGTTCTCCTGCGCATCATGCCATAGGCGCGTGTCCCAAGTAGCTTATATATCAAACAACGGATCCTGCAATTTGATTGTCCATGCAAGTTTCGGTCAACTCCTCGTTTCCCATGATACAAATGGGTTGGGTACGTCACAGGGTAATTGGACCCTGGCCCCGCCGATTTGCATGAGGGGTGCCACCGAATTTTTTGAAATGTAGCAAATCTCATGTGTTTTTGGACCCTGACCCCGCCGATCTGCGTCAGGGGTGCCACCGAATTTTAGAAATGTGGCACATGCCTTGTGTTTTGTGACCCTGACCCCGCCGATCTGCGTGAGGAGTGCCGCCGAATTTTTGACATGTGACACATCCTTTGTGTTTTTGGACCCTGACCCCGCCGATCTGCGTGAGGGGTGATACCGAATTTTAGACATGTTGCAAATCCCTTGTGTTTTTGGACCCTGACCCCGCCGATCTGCGTGATTGGTGCCACCGAATTTTAGACATGTGGCAAATCTTGTGTGTTTTTGGATCCTGACCCCGCCGATTTGCATGAAGGGTGCCACCGAATTTTAGAAATGTAGCAAATCTCATATGTTTTTGAACCCTGACCCCGCCGATCTGCGTCAGGGGTGCCACCGAATTTTAGAAATGTGGCACATGCCTTGTGTTTTTTGACCCTGACCCCGCCGATCTGCGTGAGGGGTGCCGCCGAATTTTTGACATGTGACACATCCCTTGTGTTTTTGGACCCTGACCCTGCGGATCTGCGTGAGGGTGTTAATTTTTACCCCCCCTAGAGATTCTGAGAACCCTCACAGGGCGTGGTAGTTCTGTTGGTTTGGGCTCCCCGCCACCCCTCGCGCGTTCATCAACAAGGAACAGTAAGCAGCAGGAAGCAGAGCTGTAGCAGTGAAAACTGGCAACTGCAACTGGCACGGGGAGCAGCACATTCCCGGCCTACAGCCTGATGGCCCCGCAGGGGGGCCGGCGGATTATGTAATAGAGGTGACAGCGATAAACCCTTCTCCGAAGGGGAAGAAGGGGGTTTGGAACAGGAAACTCGCAAAAACACTCACGCCCAGAGGGCTGGTGGGATTCAATCGGGCCAAGTCGACTGGTGACGTGTGTGTTGTGTGTTGTGTGTGTGTTGTGTGTGTGTGTGTTGCGTGTGTTGTGTGTGTTGTGTGTTGTGTGTTGTGCTGTGCTGTGCTGTGTTGTGTTGTGTTGTATTGTGTTGAATGTGTTTTCCTGTTCTCGAGAGGCTGGTGCGGACGCAGTTTTTGCGGGCCTGTGCCCGCCGGGTCTGGTCCCAGGTCGTTTGCACCAGGTGGTGCTTTGCTGGAGGGCGCTTCCACTACCACCACCATAAGTAGGAGGGGGGAGGGGGTCCTCCTCCTCCTCCTCCTCCTTCCTCTTCTCCTCCTTTCTCATCTCCTCCTCCTCCTCCACCTCCCTCCCCTCCTCCTTCTCCCCCATCCGTCTCTTCCTCCTCCTCCTCCTCCTCCTCCACTCCCGATTCAACACAGAACAGGAAAGTGTCGGATGTCCTCGCGGAGCGCGCCAGCGGCGGCGCTGGATGTGCTGCTGGCGGGGGTATGGCACCGATCCGAGAACGTTCGCGCGGACCTCCGAGGGCGGAGACTTAAGCACAACATCCGCCTGGGGGTAGCGATCTTCGTGGACTTTGGCAGGCAGGTGGTGTGCCATATAATCGGGCCGGGGGGGGCAACTCTTTTACCCCCTTTGCCAAGGTCCCCGAAGATCGATCCCACAAGCGGTGGATGGTAGTGCAGATGTTTCTTCTTCTGTTCACGGCCTCGCAGTGCTAATTTTAGTGGCGGTCTCACACCGGCCAACGCTGAGCCGTTGGAGACCTTCCCCTCACGGGGCAAAGCGCTGGCACGCCGAGAGTTCCAGAGAAAGTCCTCCTCGTCCTTGTCTTCCTTCTCTTCGTCGAAGCGCTTGCGACAGCAATCTACATTTCCCAGTCCTCACAGAGCCCAGCTCCTATCAGCCGGAAAGTTGCGTGACCGAGAAAGATCGGAAGCCGAAAACGTAGTGTGACCGAAGTTGTGACCGAAATGGGAAGCCGCATCTCACTCGGGCGCGTTCGGTAGCAGATCTGGTTGATTTTCGGGCGCAGTTTCGGCAAACACATCCCCTTGACAGAGACGAGGCTACGTGACAGTATGTGCCAGCTTTGCAGTCTCTGCAGTACGGCGTTCCCTCGTGGTCGAGTTGAGGCCCCACCTCTGAGCTACAATGAATTAGTTCTGTTGGTCCTCCCCCAGCGATGTCCATTTTTGCCTGCTCAATTGAAGTGCGTCCCTTGGATCTCGCACCCTGCATCTTCGTCATGGGACGCGTTGGGTGCTAGCCTATAGTGAACCCGCACAGCAATTACGAGCGACTTTCCAAGGTTACCACTGCATCTTTCCCCTTTGGCCCGTCTTGTGTCACTTTCGCTGGCCGCGCCCCGCTCACAACGTGTCGGCACGGCCTTCCAAGGCCCTTGCATCCTAATCATACATCCTTGCTATACGGGTTGACCGTGTATCCTTGGGCACCCGGCTACTGCAGCAGCGGCTCCTGCCTGAGCATTTCTCGTTCGATATTCCGGATCCCGCGTTCTTTACGCAAGCATCGCACTCTCGCCTGAGATTGCCTCTGGAGTTCTATCGAATCGCATTCGGCCCATCCCCCCACCTTGCTTGGGTTGAAGGTCTGAGGCTTCTCGGATGTTCGTTGGGCTCTCGTTCAGGCCTCTCGGGGACATCTTGGAGGCAGTTCTGGGGCCTCTCGGGGCTGGTTTGGTGCCTCGTAGGGGTTCTTGGGGCCACTCGGGGCTTCTTGGGGGCCTCCTGGGGGCCTCTTAGTGACTCTTTGGGCCTCTTTGGGGCCTCCAGGGCGCATCTTTGGGCGGACAACGCGAATTTACGGTTCGTGCTTGCGAGATCCACAGTGGGATCGATCGTGAGATCGACGGTGGCAGATTTGCAAGGCGAGGATGAGGAGGAGGAGGAGGAGGAGGAGGAGGAGGAGGAGGGGCGGCTTGGCGAGGGCGGCGACGAGCTCGACGAGATCCTCGGAAGCCCAGGAAAGCCCGGACGACGTCCATCGTCGCAGCATCGGTGTGCGGCGACCGGCGGCGGCGGCGGGGCGCCCCTCCGCGCGGTGGGAGGCCATGACCACCTGCATCACCGTCATGGGCACGGGCCTGGCCCTGCGGGGCCCCGAGGGGTCCTCCCTCGCCGCCGCGCCCCAGGGCGGGGAGGGGAGCGAGGAGCAGGTGAGGAAGGGTTCCCGTGCCGCCTGCACTGCGCTGCCCTTGTCGCCACGGCTGGACTGGCCTCGGGATCCTCGTCAGAGCGCTCCCTGGGAGAGGTCCGGGGGGCAGCGGCATCGGTATCGCCGTGTCCTGCCGGAGGAGCCCCCTCCCCGCCCAGTGTCGTCGTGGTCGTCGTCGACATCGTCGTCGTCGTCGTGGTCGTGGTCGTGGTCGTGGTCGTGGTCGTGGTCGTCGACGGAGGCTCGAGGGCCATGGTTTCTGTCACGACTTTTGAGGTCCTTGTCTGGGCCCTTGCCGCGGCGCCCTCGCGGCCACGGCCCGCCCCTTCTCGGAGTGCCGGCCGCGTTGCGCGCCAGGAGGGAGGGCCCCCCCCGCGCGCGCGGGAGCGAGGAGTCATGACAGTCAGGGGCGGCCAAGAGGGGAGTGATACTAAGGGGGGGGTGGATCTCATGGCGGGGGCCGTGATACCTCGCCAGATTTCATGGCGCCTCCTCTGGTTTCAGTACGTCCCCGCCCCCCCCCCCCCCCTGGGCCGCGCACGTGCCTCTGGCCATGATTTGCGGTTGTGACTACCGCAGTGGTGCATATCCTCTTCGGCGGAGCTCCCCATGGGGCCACGAAACGTGTGAGGTTTGTGCCGAAATGGGTGGCGGGGACGCATGTGGGCTCCGCCGCGGGGGCGTTCGGTGGAGCTCCCTATGGGGCCACGAAGCGCTCCCTCTTGGACGCCCCCCTATTGGCCGCCCCCGAGAGGTATCACAGGTTCGTGCCGTGTCGACGCGGCGGCCGCGGCAGCTGCGGCGGCGTCCGCGCGGGCGTTCTGGGCGGGGAACGCGGCCAGCGGCCTGGAGCGTGCCGGCGTCGAGCGATCCACGCTGTCGGGGAGCCGCGGTCGTGCAAGATTGAATCTTATCCATGCTCCGGAAGATTTGTGTGCACTGTGCCGTGCCGCGCTGGCGTCTCCCGAGGCGGGCGTCGTCAAGCCTCGAGCTAGGAATGGTACGGCGCATGGTTGCCTGGCGCTCGGAGCCGGAAAACTATAGGCTTCGTGCCGCTTCGGAGTGGCGTCGTTCTTGTAAATGCGGTTTCAGAAACCACCGCCGAGGTCGTCACGACAAGGATTTGCCGTAATCAGCCGGGACCCCCCCGCCCCATCCGGGCGTTTCTCGGTGTCGGCCTCCAGAAGTGGCGTTTGCAGCAAGGAGGGTCGCAGGCGATTGTTTATCCCGCCAGTCCCCGAGTACTCCACCCCAGAAAATTGGCCGCTCAGAAAAGAGGGGGATCTCGGAAGAATATCTCCGGGATTTACTCGAATGCACCATTACCGAGGTTTGTCTCGGCCCATCGTATATCCTCAAATTCGACTCCGAGTGTTCAGTCTCTTTACGAAATCCCCACCAAGTCGGGGCTGACGGTCGCCATGCTCCCTGTCCGAGTGGAGTGGGGACTATGTATTGGGCGCGATGGGGCGAGGTGCGCCATGCGTGCCAGGCGCTCCAGGTGCGCCAGGCACCCCTGAGGCCCAAGCGTGCCAGGCACGCCTCGCGCGCCAGATGCGCCACGTGCTCCGCGTGCGCGCCATCTGTGCCGCGTGGTCCAGCCGCGCCAGGTGCCCCACGTCGGGGGCACGCGCAGAGTCCTTGGGTTGACTGCAGGGCTGTGTGCGGATGGTGGCCGGGGCCAAGACATCTCCCAGGCGTCCTGGTTCGATCTTCGCCTCTCGATGCGCCCCCCTGCGCCGGGCCTGCGCTCGCTCCGCTCGCCCGCGCCTGTGCGTTTTAAGTCGGGAATGTCCCTCTACAGGAGGAATGATCAAGAATAGTCGAGCAAAATCGTGTGGGGACGATTGTTGTTTTATTCTTGAATTTTTTTTGATATCTCTGACTACTTTTGATGTTTCTACCAAAATCCTCCTGTAGGAGGACATGCCCGACCTAACTCTGGCCCCCCCCCCTCCTGTCGTCGGGCCAGACGGAAGGGCAGGACAGGGAAAGGGGGGGTACGAAGTCCGCTGCGTGCAGCTGGCTTCTGCCCCGCCGCCAGGCCCATACCTCGATGCATGGGCGCCTCCCTGCGCCAGGAGGCGCCGGGGAAGCCAGCCACGTGAGCCGATTCTCTACCTATAGCCCTGTGCTGCCCTGCCCTTTCGTGCCCCCCCCCCCTCCTGGGTCCCCCTCTTCGGCGCTCCCGGCGGGACCGTCAGACGCATCGGTGTGTGGGACGAGCCTTTGCCACAAGCCCGAGGATTCAGACAATCGAAAAAGGACAATGACCATAACCATAAATGTTTGGCCCTTCGCGCGGATTTCTTGGATCGGCGCTGGGCCCCCTGGCGGCGCCTCCGGCGCCGCCCGTGGCGCGCTCCGCGCGCCAGGGACGCCGGTCCAGCGCAGATCCACGAAACGCCAAAAGTGTATGTTTATGGCGCTTTCTCTTCCTCTAGACAAGTCGCTGCGTCGGAGGTCTGTCGACTGCTTCTGAGGTCCCCAGGGCCTTCCAGAGGCTTCAGGAGCGCACAGGCGGCCATTTACGTGGCCAACTGGGGGAACTGTAGAATGTCTTCGAACTGGGTCTTTTTCTGAAGATAGCGGCACTTAGCGGCATTTAGCGGCACAAGCGTTTGTGGCCACGATGGGGCCGGCGGTCTCACTCACGCGCCCGTGGTGTCACGGAGGCCGGCGACCCCGAGCCTTGATTTACATGCCCGTGGCCCAGATGGGGCTACACGGCCATCTGAGTGCCACTAAATGGTAATTTTCGGAGCCACTAACGGCCACTAAGTGCCACGAAATGGTAATTTTCGGAACCACTAACGGCCACTAAGTGCCACGAAATGGTAGATCTCGGGCCACTAAATGCCGCTAAATGGTAGTTTAATTCTCGGAGCCACTAACGGTCACTGAGCGCCACTAAATGGTAATTCTCGGAGCCACTAAGGGCCACTAAGCGCCATTAAATGGTATTTCTCGGAGCCAGTAGCGGCCGCTAGGTGCCACGAAATGGTAACTTTTCGGTACCACGAAAGGCCATTCAGTGCCACTAAACGGCCGCTACAGGCCGTTAGCGGCCACCAAGTGCCACTAGATGGTAATTCTCGGAAGTCGCGATGGTCAGTCCGAAGTTCCCCAGAGAGCCCACATTATTTCATGCATCTCGATCCCGCTCGTCCTCTCCCCTTCGCATTCTCATCAGCCGCCGCCTCCTCCTCCTGTCCCCCAGACAGATCTGGTGGGTTGCTTCCCCACCCGACGGTTAAGGACGGAGAGAAAATCAGGAGGGACCAAAAATACAGACACAGTTAATTGTCGCGCCCCAGGAGAATATGGGAAACTGTGGGACGTGGAGGAGAAGATCAAAACCCATGAATCTATGGAAAATGCAGGGAGACTTATGATTTGTGTCTATTTACTGGGGTGTCCCCGGCCCATTTAGAAGCACATACCGCAGCCGAAGGGGCCCCAAAAGGAGTCCCGCAGTGCTCTCTCGGGATCCCGGCCTGACGTCTTCGGCAAAGGACGACCCCAGACCCCCTTGGGCAATGAACAAAATCACGACGGACGGGTTTTCGCCATTTTCGGCCTCTGGGGGACTTCGCCAGGCCTCGGGGCCGTCACCAAACGACTTGGTATGAAAATCCGATCCTGGGGAGTGGGTCGAGACTTCGGGGGGTCGACGCAATCAAAAAATCATGACGTTGGGAGTCTGGGACTGCACACGGCGGTCGGCAAGCTCCGACCGAGGGTCCGGACAGTCCTTGGGGATTCTGGCTCGTGTTTGCACACCGCGGTTGGTAAACTCCGAGGGTCCGGGCAGGTACTTACGAAGACACACGCCTCAAGAACATTCTCCCCAATCACACACGCCTGTCACAGGCACCAGGAACAGACAATGCGCATACATGCCACAGTTGAAACACATACACTTAGGGCGATCATGAGTGCCAACCCTGCATGTTACTCACCGTTCGCACTACATACACCAAGAGCGCACCTATAAAGCACTGCCCCTACATAACATGTACCAACACACATCTCCACCACTCACACACACACACTTCAAGATCACACATCTAAACCCCCGCACACACACTCACACACACACACTCCAGCAACACACATACACCAAGAACACGCCTGGGGAATATTTACACGGCCATCATTTAGTTATAACCCACGTCATTACCATACATCTCACGCAGGTTACACTATCGTAACACATCGCGAGCATACTTCACCAAGACATGCAAGTCACAAACATACAGTGCAGCTATCACTGACACCCGCCAGTAATTTTCACGCACCATAGTTGTCAGTCACGCACATCAGGAACACACAAATACAGAACAGCCCCCAACAGTTTACACCAGACGAACACCAATATTAAATACCAGCATAATGCGATAGCGGCAAAACCTGTTGCTGTACTGAAGCTTCCTGGGGGAGAGGGCTCGAAGCAAGTTTTGTTTTTCGCGGCCGCAGAGTTCTAGACCCTTTTCCTGGGGGACAGTTATTCGTTCCAGTTGACTTGGCCAGATGGTCCACCAGTGGCTGCACCGTGTGGTGAGTCAGTGGGGATTCGGGGTGACCGCACGGTTTGGGGATTTCGGTCGTCTTCCGAGGAAGTCTCGGGTGATTGAGGCCTCCAGGGTCCCAACGCGGCACGGTGATGGACCGTGTGGTGAGGCGTTTGGGGGTCCGAGATCACCGCCTGGTCCACCTCCACACCATTTCGAGACCCCCGGGAGGAAAAATGCCGGGATCGAAGAAGTCAGTCCGCTTGAAGTTCGGGTCGGACGAGAAGGGGGGATAGGGAATGGGCGGGGTGTGAAATTTGTTGTGTGCAGCTGGTTCTGGCCCCGCCGCTTGGCGCCTTTTCTCGATGCAGTGGCGGTTCCAGCGCTGGGAGGCGTCAGAAGAAGCAGCTACATGAGCTGCTTCGCTGATCTTCCCTGTGCTAGCCCTCCGTTTCGGCCGACCCGAGACGAGAATCTTGGATTTTTTTTGTTTTGTTTTCTTTGCCGCAGCCCGGTGATGTCTCAGCTCAGCTGCTTCTGCACCACACTGCAAGAAGGGCAACGACCTCCTGGGAAGCCTCCTCTATCATGCTGGTGTTCCCTGCGCCGAGTACGGTCGCAGGCAACGGCTCGCAGAACTACTCGTTGTCGACGTCGTCGTCGTCGTCGATATTCCGCTTGCCCGAGAAGCCTGGGCCCTCTCTCCCGCCCATCCTCGGCCGCGCGCAGAGTGGGGTAGGGGCGGGGGGAAGGCTTCTCAGAAGCGCCCCTGCTTTTTAGCAGGCGCGGGCCTTCTCTGTAGTCAGGCCATCCCAAACATGGATCAAGGGGGCGTGGATCAGCGACGGGTCCCGTTTCCATGGGAAATCGCGGATTTACGCTGCCGAATCAGGCGGCACCGGCCGCATTTTGGGGAGTGCACCTCCCCCGATCCATCTTTGCGCGCCCCCGATAGGTGCAGGGCCGGCGCCTTCTAAGAAGCAGCCTCCTGCTAAGAAGCCTTCCCCCCTACCCTTAAGTCGGGCTGTCCCTCTACAGGGGGAAATAGTAATAAAGTAGTCTGGGGACGATTTTTGACAATCTTTTAGGGGGGGGGATTTTTTACTTCTCGTGCCGTATCCGCCTGTAGGGGGACATGCCCGACCTAACCCTACCCTTCTTCCCCCTCTGCGCGACGCCAGCACGCCTCCCGCGCCCGTGCGGAGTCGCAGGTCCATGGTCCGGGCCGTGGAGGGCATGTACAAGCAGCGCTTCACGGTCTTCCTGACCTTCGGCCTCGGCATCAGCTCCTGCCTGGCCGCCCCCGCTGCAGGGCTTCAGAGCCAGAGGATGAAGTACACCAGAGAAAAAACCCAACCAGTGAATAGTTTGAAATGGGATTGATAAAGAGATCGAAAAGGGGATCGACCAGGAACCCGGGAACCCAGGAACCCGGAACCCACCGAAATCGGCCCGAAACCAATAACCAGGAACCCGGGAACCCGGACCCGGGAACCCAGGACTCCAGCGGGCTGCCACAATCGGCGGGAAATTTTCGCCTAATATTTCAATTTCCGCTAGGAACCTTTCAGGAACCTTTCAGTGCAAGTACTGATTGGGGGAAGACTGTGCCGATGCAGGCCTCGTTTTCTCCTTGTTGGGCCTCCTTGGAGGCCCTGGTCGCCACCGCTGGGGTTTGCCTCGAGGTTCTGGTCAGAGCGCACCTCGGGAGAGGCCCGGGGAGGGCAGCATCGCTTCCTTTCTTCACTTCCCCAGCTGCAGTCGAGGCGCCGCAGGGCGGGCCGTTTCGGGCTCGGGAGGGGCTCCGGTCTTCGGGCCGTTGCTCGGGTCTGGGGCCGGGAAGCGGATCCAAGTGGAGGCTCGCCGCGGCCAGAGGCGCCCTTTCGGTTCTTCGTCCGCGTTCCTGGTGGTGGGCCCAGGGGTTCTTTCGCTGCCCTTCCCTCGTCGCCAGATTTGGGTTCGCTTCGGATTCCTGGTCAGAGCGCACCCCGAGAAATGTGCGGGGAGTCGCGGCATCGGTGTCAGGGGCGGGGTGAGGGGTCAGACCTGCGGTGCGGGCAGGAGATGCCCATCTTGGCCCTAGGAGTAGGTCCTGCATGTCCTCCTACAGGCGGATTTCGGAAGAAAGTTGAACCATAGTAAAACATATTCATAAAGATTCCACAAACAATCAAAACATCGTCCCCATACAATTTTTTTTTTAATTTTTTTTTTGAGATTCCTCCTGTAGACGGACAGGCCCGACTCAAGGGGTGTATGCGTGCCTTCCTGGCCTTGCCAGGGAGCGTTTGCACTGCCCGCATTGGCGCCCTGCCAGGGGCGTAGGCTGTGCACAGATCGCGTCGCCCTGCGCGGAGCGGAGGCGAGGAGGACTGTCCTGTCCCCCGAGGGGCCCATCCTCCGCGAGGGGAGCGGGTCTGACGGGGCCAGGACGAGGATGCATACGTTCCAAAGCGCTCCGTTCGGATGCGCTTCCTGGGAGGTCAGATTCAGACTTTGCCCTTGTCCGAAATCCCGCGCGATCCTGCTTCATCCCGCTGGCTCGGGCTCAATCCCGCTTGATCCGGCTTAATCCCGCTCGATCCGAGGCCCACTCTGACGTAACAGGGCCTCCAGTGGGGCTGAACATTTCTTGATCTTCCCGGCGAAGACCTCCCAGTAGTTGGCTCCTAAGTTCCGGAACGCTCCCAGAACGTTCGAGAACGTTCGGAGAAGGCCGCGGCGCCCGAGACATCCTATACAGAGCCGCCAGGTCTCAGAGATTCCGACACATTGCCCCTGGGCGAGCGAATAGCCTTGGCATATCTCGTTTGCGGATTGTTTCTTTCGTGTCTGGTTGCGTTGTCTTTGACACCACTCACTCCGATTACTGTCGCAGCATCAAGTTCATCCTTAGGGTAACGCGAACCTGTCTCACGGCGGTCTGGGCCCAATCTTCACCCGAGGTTGTCCTCGTCCCGGCCTCGGCGCAGGCGGGAGACTCAATCGTCGGGGGCGGCAAAGAGGGGGGTGACGACCAGTGGGGGTTGGACGCCATGGCGGGGGCCATGGTGTCTCCCCAGATTTCATGGCGCTTCTTCTTGTTTCCATGCGTCCCCGGCCCCCCCCCGTGGGCCGCGCACGTGCCGCAGGCCATGATCTGCGCCCCCCCCCCCTCTTGGACGCCCCCCTCTCCTGGCCGCCCCCAGTCGAGCGCCTCCGGACTGGAGGCCCGCGCCAGCCTCTGCCAGCGGCGCCCCGCCGCCCCCAGGAGGCGCCAGAGCGGCCCGCGGCGCGCGCGGGGCGCACGTGCCGCGCGGTGCGCACGGGGCGCACGCGGCCGCAGAGTGCCCCGAGGGCAGACGCGTCCCGGCCTCGTGGGCGGGGTCGGAGCGCAGTGGGGGGCCCACGCCAAGGAGCGCCCGGCCTGCCTCCAGGGGTGCCCCGGGCTTCCTGGGTCTCGATGGCTTCGTGATGGGAGGCGTGGCGTTCCCATATCGAACATCAGTGGACGTCCTGGGGTCTCAGGGTCGGGTTTCTTGTGGAAGGGTTCTTGAGGTCAAGCCCCTACGGTAGATCTTGGCATCGCTAGGGCGTATCTTCGGCGAAGACTATCGAAGAGCATCTTGGGCCATCGATCAAAGAAAAAGCACACACGGCAGCGAAACATGCAAGGTGAATGGACGTCCGAGCGATGGCAAGAGATGGGGTCGGAGGATCGCGTCGCATCGATCGTGGAAGTGAGAGGTGGCGGGCCTGCGCAAAAGGCGGCAGGGCTTCTCAGACGCCCCCCAGCCTTCGGAACTGCTGTCCTTTTTTTCGGTGAGGGCTCCGAAAGCTCCTCGGAAGGCTGGGGGGCCTTCCGAGCCTTTTGAAAATCAGGAGGGGGAAACCACGCAGACACGAGGAATCGGCGTCTCCCAGGGAAATCTAGGGAAACATGGGAAGGGGAGGGGAAGACGAACACCCAGAAACTATGGGGGATCCTTGGATTTGTGTGAGTGTGTGTGTGTGTGTGTTTGTTTGCGTGTCCCTGGGCCCCTTCAGAGAAGGCCTGGCCCCTCTGACTTCCCCCCTTGGGCCCGCCGCCGATCCAGCCAGGCAAATAACACAGGGGCGAGGAGGACCCGATCCGGGCTTCCCCCCCGCTCCCCTGACTTGCAAGGGGGGGCTGTTCGAGCCAGACCTCCCCCCACCTCCCTGGAGTTACGCGGGGGAGGTTCGAGCTAGCCGCCCCTCGATTGTAAGGTGGGGGTCGAGCCGGGGGGGGATCCCCCGCATGCGGGATCAATCCCCCCCCATTGGTATCAACTCCAACCAACTGGGCTTCTCAACCGGTCAAAAAACCAGTTCGTACCAATTACAACCCGCCATCTTGAGCCGACCGTAGGATTCGATGTGTAAAGCCTCATGCTCCAGGCATCAAGTGCACGTCGTATGGGTACACAGTCGTTTCTTTGTTATTCGCTGTTCAATTGAAATTCAAAAAGGCATGCGCAGATCCCATCCTGCAGCAGAACTTGCTTAATGTCTCATTTGGTTGTCCATGGGATGTTCATTGGTTTTGCAATCGGAACTCTCGGAGGGCAAGGTGACCCGTTCGGCACCCCTCTCCCTCCCCATGGCCCGGGGGAGTTCCAAGCCCCCGAGGACACGAAACGCTTCCACTGAAAGCGTCACCCTCGGGGCCCCCGAGGAAGTCCTGAGGAACCCATTCAGAAATTCCGAGGGATTCCTCAGGATGCCCTTAGGAATTCCTCCGGGCTCCCTCTGGAATCCTTGCGGAATCTTGGGACACCCCTGAGGAATCCCTCGGAATGTTTAATAGGAAGCCCTTCAGAATCCATGGGGGATCCCTACGGAGTCTCTAAGGAATCTCCAGGGACTCCTGGAGGAATCTCGAATAAACCTCGAAGGATCTCAAAGGAACCCTTCTAAGAAGTCCCAAAAGAGCTTCCAAAGCGGATGGAATTTGGTACCAGTTGGAATTGGCACCAACATGTTAGGAGTCCGTCCCAATCGGTTACAATCCGTCAATAATTCAGACCCCCCCACCTCTCATGGGTGGGGGGGGTTCGAACCAGCCCCCCCGCTATATTGTCAAGGGGGGTGTGGGGTTCAAACCGGGGGATGGCGCCGGCGACGTCGGGCAGCGACGACGACTACGACGCCGACGACGGAGACGGAGTACGTGCCGATTGTCTTCAGTTGCTACGGCCGCCTCGAAAAAAAGGAGGACTTGATAGTGTAGAGTTGAGTAGTGCAGTTGAGTAGGAGTAGAGTCGAGGAGGAGGAGGAGGAGGAGGAGGAGAGCAGATTCCGAGGGTTTATGACCCCAGGAACGCGACTATCGTGTAATTTACAAAAGTTCACGGCCTCGGGGACCCGATTCTCCCATAATTTACGATAGATTATGGCCTCTGGGACGCGAGCATTGCGTAATTTACCAGGGTTGATGGCCTCGGGGACGCAGATATTAAGTAATGTATAATGGTTTTTGGCTTCGGCGAAGCGAATATTGTGTAACGTTCGCGGGCTTATGGCTTCAGGGGCGCGAATCGTGTGTAGTTTTGAAAGGGTTACTGGTTCGGGGACACGGATAGTATCTAATTTACAGGGGTGATGGCTTCGGGGACGCAGAGTTTGTATAATTCTTTAGGCTTGCGCCACATCCGTCGACCCTATATATATATATATATATATATATATATATATATATATATATTATTGCGCTTCCAGGACTGCATTTCACGAGGCTTGTCCGAATCATGACACGGCGCTCGACGTCGTTCTTGTTGCTTCTTTGTTGTTATCGTACCTCTTGGTGCTCTTTTGTGGCCTTTTGGTGGCATCTTGGCCTGTCTGCAGGCCATATCCGGCCGCATGGAGGCATCTCGGGCCAAGTTTGGGGGCCTCTTGGGGGCTTCCTGGGGACTTCTTGGAGGCCTTTGAAGTTCTATTGGGGGTCCCTCGGGGCCTCTTGGGGTGTTCTGGGGACGGCTGGGGGCGTCTTGGGGCCGAAGGCTCGAAAAGGTGCCCTCTGGACTCCGTCTCGGAGCCGTCTGGGGGCCTTCTGGGGCTGTCTTGGGGGCTTCGTGGGCTGTTGTTGGACCCTCTTCGACCCTTCTCGGGGGCCCCTTTGGCCGTCTGGGGGCGATATTGAAGGTTTCTTTGACCGTCTGGGACGTTGTGAAAACCGAATAGGCGAGCATGCGACAAATGCTTGTTTTCCGAAGGGAATGGGACGATTTTTGTTTCTTGGGGCGCATCTTGGGGGCCTTTTGGGGCGTGTCGGCAGCTTCGGAGGCCGCCTGGAGGCCATCGTGGGCGTCCAGGGGCGATATTTCGGCGAATCGTGGCCCCCTGGGACCGTCTGGGGAGCGTTTTGGTGCCTTCTTGGCGAGTTTTGCTCCGCTCCCCCGTGTCGCGTTCGGTCCGGGGTCGGGGTCGGCCAGGGGGTGTCACATTGCCGGGACGCAGATTGCGAAGGCCTTACGGCCGGTGCCGCCGACCTTGAGAACGACGAGGATGAAAACGGGGGGGGACAGGGGGAGGAGGATGAGTGGTATATAGGTGGAGGGAGGGTGGAGGAGGTGGATGAGGGAGGCGGAAGAAGGAGGCAGAGGAGAGCAGGAGGAGGGGGAGCAGAGGGGGGGAGGAGGAGGAGGAGGAGGAGGAGGAGGAGGAGGAGGAGGAGGAGGAGGAGGAGGAGACCAGACGCTTTCTTGGGACAGCCGGGGGCTCTCTTGAGGCCGTCGTGTGCCGTCCAGGAGTCCAGGGCTCCTCTTGCGCCGTCTCGAGGCACTCTTGGAGGCCTCCTGGGCAATTTGGGGCTAGCTCTCCTGGGCTGTCTTGGGCAATCTTGGAGGCTTCTTGGGCCGTCTTGAACTGACGGAAGCCCGAAGCGAAAATCTTTCAATAACTTAGGAGATTGTTAATTTTTGTCTTTTCGGGTTCTCCAGAGGGTCCTGTTGGAGCCCTCTTGGGCTTTCTTGGGCCATCGTGGCGGTCTTTGTGGTTTTCCTGGGCCGTCGTGGATTCCTCCGAAGGCCCTCGTGGGCTAGCTTGGGGCTCTTTTGGTGCGGTCCTGGGCCATCTAAGGCCCCTCTTGCACCGTTTAGATGCCGTCTTGGAGGCCTCTTGAGTCATTTCGGGGGTCGTTTGGGCCGTTTTGGAGCAATATTGGAGGCTTCTAGGGCCGTCTTGAGCGGACGGATGTTCGCAGCGAGAATCGTTCAACAACTGTTGAGGCAATCGGTGATTTTTGCGTCCTCGGGCCTTCAGGAGGATCCTTTTGGAATTCCTTTCGGCGGTTTTCATGACATCTTGGGCCGCCTTGTCATCTTGGGCCGTCGTGCCGTCTTAGAGCCATCGCTCTTTTGGGGCTATCGTGTCCCTCTTGGAGACTCTTTGAAAGCCATTTTGGGGAAATCTTGGCCAGCTTGGCGGCCATCGGGCAGGACTTGGAGCCGTCTTGCTGTCTTGGGGCCATCGCAGAGGCGTCTTGGGCGCTCCTGGGGCGATCCCGGGGGCTTCTTGAGCCGTCTCGGGCCGTCTGCAGGCCAACGAGGAACGAATCTCGAAAAGCATTGGAAAACATTAAAACAAAAACACAATGTTCGTTTCGTCGGGCCTCCAAGGAGATGTCCTTGGAAGCTTTTTCGGCCGTCTTGGAAGACTTAGGCGTGGGTGAGAGTCCAGAGGAATGCGTGCTGGGGTGTGTTTCGAACGCTCTCGTGGGCCGCTGGGGGGCAGTGTGGGGTCTCTTCGAGGCTTGAGGGCCTTGGGGCTGGGGGCGTTGTGGCCTGCAATGGGCCCTCGTGGACCGTTTTAGGACTCTGTTGGAAGCTTCTTGGGGCGGCTCGGGGCGATCTTGGGGGCCTGTGGGGTTGTCTGGGAGCTCTGGGGAGCAAAAGAAACGAGAACGCAATAATCTGTAGAAAACGGATGAGAATCGACGGATTTTGCTTGTTTGGGCCTTCGCGGGATTGCGCCTGGAGGCATTTTGCGCCGTCTTGCAGGCCTATGGGGCCGTCCAAAGGCTGCGAAGGCGTCTTGCACATATCGTTCAGCGATTCAACGTTTTCTTGAACTGTCTTGAAGGCGTCTCGGGGCAATCTTCGCTCGTCCAGAGGCCTTTTTGAGCTCCGGGCCCCATTCCCTGAAGGGGAACGACGGCGGCGGCGGCGGTAGCGACGACGACGCTGAGTCCTCAGGGGTGCTTATTGGGATCTCTTCCGAGCTCTCTCGAAGGCCTCTGGGGGGCAGTTTGGGGGCCCCTTGGGAACCGCTTGGGGCCTTCTTCGGGGTCTCTTGGGGGCCTCTTGGGGCTGAGGGCTCGAAATGTTCGTTTTGGATCCCCCGTCTGGGCATTCTCCTGGAGCCGTCTTGGGGGGCTGTTGGGCCGTCTTGGAGGGGTCTTGGGCCGTCGGCCGTTAGGGGACCCTCTTGGGGGCCTCTTGGGCCGCCTCAGGGCGATCTTCGGGGCCTCTTGGGCCGTCTTCGCGCGTCGGGGAGCGGAAGAGGCAAGAACGCCAAAATCTGTCAAAAACGTATTGGAAATCCATGGATTTTGCCTCTTGGGGCTCTCGTGGGAAAGCTCCTGGAGGCCTCTTGGGGCGCTTTGCAGGCCTCTTGGGCCGTCTGGATGCCGCCAAGGCGTCTTGGACAGATCGATCGGCGATTCGGAGTTCTCTTGGACTGTCTTTGGGGCCTCTTGGGGCACTCTTGGCCCGTGTTGGGGCTTTGTTGGGCTCCGGGACTCCTGGGGCGGGCGTCGTATCTGACCCCCCCCCACCCCTGGGACCCCCCCCCCGGGGACCCCCCCTGGGACACCCCTCGGGGACCCCCCCTCCCCGGCGAGGAAGGGATCGAAGGTAAGGGGCTTCCCTTCGACTCAATTACGACGTTGCTCAACTTAGCTTTGGCTGGCGCGCTGAGGAGTTCCCTGGGAAAGGGGGGAGCTTCGACGAGCCCAGGGAAACGAGGAGGCAGGGAAAGGGGCCGACAGAGACGACGACCAACGAATGACGGAGATGAAGACTTGAACGGACAAGCCCCTCACACACGTCGACAGGGTCGGGGGGATTTTGTTTCATTTACAAGGGTTCATGGCTTCGGGGGCGCGAATAAGGTGTAACGTGCCAAGGGTTATGGCCTCGGGGACGCGACGATGGCGTGATTGACAATGTGTTTTGACCTCGGGGACGCACATTTTGCTTACCTTACGAGGGTTTATGGCCTCGGGGGCGCCAACATTGCATACTGTACAGAGGTAGATGGCATTCGGGACGCGAAAATGGCCTAATTTTCAATGGCTTGTGGCTTCGGGCGCACATATGGTGTAATTTACTAAGCTCTATGGCTTCGGGGACGCGAATATGGCACAGTTTACGAGAGTTATGGCTTCGGGGACGCGATCTTACATATATATATATATATATATAGATAGATAAACTTATCCCACGACGCCCCAGGAATTCTGGGAACCCGGGAGGGGCGTGGTAAATCCAATGATTTTCGGCTCCCCCGCCCCCGTGCGTTCAGTAATTAACAAGTTACAGTAGGAAGCAGCAAGCACAGCTATCACATTGGAGAGCTGGAACCTGCAACCGACGCAGGGAGCAGCAAGCCGAGCCCTACAGCCTGGTGGCCCCACAAGGGGGCCACCGGATTCTTAGGCTTATGCCACACCGCCGACCCTTTGGGGGACTGGCGGTTGTTGCATGTTGGTCCGCAGGGCTTTTTGGGGCGCCTTTGGAGGCTTCTTGGAGATCTGTCGGAGCTTCATTGGGACCCCTGGGAAGCATTTGGGGGGCTTCTTGGGCGGACATTCTCAGAAGTCGCCGTGCAGGCATGGGGAAACGGGTGAGAACCCACGCAACAGACAGCGGGCATCTGTCAAAACACCCGAAGAATGATTATCGAATGGCCTTTGTCACATCCCGCCGCTATCCCTGGGATGCGGGTCACCTGAGCCCACTCGGATGGCTGATGGGGCCTCGTGGGAGGCGTCTCGGGGGCGTCTTGGAGACAGCTTTTGAACCTGTTTGGGGCCTCTTAGGGGCTTCCTGCTGCCCTCTCGGGACGTCTGTGTTGGGCTCGCGGCAATTCGCACTACTGTCAGTGGCTGTCCTTTGTGCAGTGTTTATGATATTTTTGTGTATGTGCGCAGCTCGCGCCAATTTGCATCATTTTCAGTCGCTGTCAGTTTTCCAGGGTTTCCCAGACTTCTGTGCAAGGTCCTCCGATCGCCGAACGCGATGCGCTATGCGTGCTCGTGTTTGGTTTCTCCGCGGCCCCCCCCCCCAAAGCCGCGCACAACAGGTGGTCACTCTTAATTACCCAGGTTCACTCTTGCGTGTAGTCGACCATGCCCGCTGAGTCCCCCCAGGGACCGAACATTACAAACGAACATCTGTCAGCGTGAGCACTGCATTTGGCATCGCCCGGACGTGTGCATTTTTTCTCGGCGAGAACCATCGAGGACCATGGACAATCGGGCAAAAAAAACACGCACGACACCGAACACTGCACGGGAATTGGAAGCCCGAGCGATGGCAAGTTCATTGCAGCAGCGTGAATGTTTAAGCCATGTGGTGCAAGCTGTGCATGTGAGCTATGCGGTGCAGTATGCGTGGTGCACGGCAGAGGCGACCACGAGGCCGCCACGGGCGGCAGCGTGGCGAAACCTCGCACGACCCGCCCAGCGCACGAGGCGGCCACGAAGCGGCAACGTGCCGAAGTTCGGCCGAGCCCGCCCAGCGCACGAGGCGGCCACGAAGCGGCTCCGGGCGGCAACGTGACGAATCTTCGCCAGACCCACCGAGCGCACGAGGCGGCCATGAGGGGCAACGTGGCGAGTCCACGCTGAACCCGTACAATTTCTTTTGACGTGATGAAGAGCCTTTGAATGCAAGCACTGTTCGGGGAACAGCCTTGCCGCGAGTTCGCTAGCGACGAGGAAATGCTTGGGAACGAAGACGAGTGCGCACTGTCGCCTTTGCGCCCAGGTCTCTTCGTTTTTCCTGTGCTGGATCAAGATGCGGACCGTGGCGGCCAGCTGCTGCTCGGGATCTCCCCGCCGCCCGAGCCAATCTCTCTCCGCATTGCGTGGTTCCTTTCCTCGTTCGTCAGCGTCTTTTTCCTCCTCTTCCTCTCTCTTATTGTGTTGCTCAGGCTCTAGCATCTACTGGTTGTAGCGTCTGACTTGGGCGAGGTGGCCTTGGCAGCATAACGAGGCACGCAGCGCTCCTCAGTTGCAGCCGCTAAGTGCCAGGAAAACGGAGTACAGTGGAGACCCATGCCAAGCAACACCCTGGTTGCCTCCAGGGTGCCCTGGTTTTTTGGGGGGTTTCGATGGTTTTGCGATGGAAGGCGTGGCGCCCCCACACCAGAAAAACAATGGACGTCCTGGGGTCTCAGGGTTGGGTTTCTTATGGAAGGTTTCTCGTGGACTGGCCTCCACTGTAGGAAGAGGTTGCGAAGTGCCGAGGCTGCCCATGCCCCAAGGTTTCCCTGGAGGCTTCCCTGGGAGGCCACGGGGGGCCTGCAGAGCGTCCCCCACATGAGGCTCGGAGGCCCCCCCGAGGGACTCGAGAGTGGCGCGGCATGCTGGGGGCATCTTCTCCTCCTCCTCCTCCTCCTCCTCCTCCTCCTCCTCCTCCTCCTCCTCCTCCTCCTCCCCCTCCCCCTCTCCCTCCTCCCCCTCCCTCTCCCCCTCCTCTCCTTCCTTTCAAACTTTTGACACCACCCGATCACCTTGTTCCGTCGGCGTCGTCGTCATTCCCCCTCGTCCCCCTCAAGGAGAGGTGTTTTGCTGAACGTGCTTGGCACGCTCTGGACCTGGCTCTGGGGACCTCCGGAGAGATCCTCCTGTTCCCCTTTGCTCACGATTCCTCTTCCTGGGCCTTCTCCGTCGCATCTTCGGAGAGCTTCAGGAACTTTGCCGGCCTTCAGAGACCTCCGCGAAACTTGCAGGGACCTCTTCATCCTCCTCGTTTTTCCTCCTGCTCCGCCTCCCTGCCGAGCTAGCAGCCAGTAGCAACAAGCACTTCTGACACCATGGCGATCATTTTGAGATTGGTTGTTCCTACCTGCTTGCGTGTCATCCCCCGTTATCCGCTCTTCGTATTCGGACATGCTCCCCTTGGGGATCTATAGTCCTTCCTTTCTACAGGGAATGGGCGTGGACACTCAAATGGGGAAATGTATGAGGGTATCGGGAGGGAAGGAAGCTGCGAGGGAGGGAGGGAGGAGAGCGATGAAGTAGGAGAATAATGCCGGAGGGGAGAGGGGGGAGCAGGAAGTGCATAGGATGGAGCAGATACGAGGGACGAAGGATTGGGGTGGAGGCACGGGGAGGGAAGGGAGAAAGGAGGCGAAACAGGATGATACTAGGAGGGAGGGGAGAGGGAGGAGAACGAAGAGAAAAAGTGAGCGAGCAGGGAGGAGGCCAATACGGAAGGGCAGCAGCAGCAGCAGCAGGTGAAGCCAGGAAAGGAAGTTCGGAGGCGGGCCATCCCCGAGGCGTTTACGAACCAACGACTCCCCGCAGATGTCTAAGAGTTTTCGGGTCGAAAGTGCGTGCTCATTGACACGCTCAGGACCTCGGGGTACTCACCCGTGGGGCCAGGCCGGAGGTGTTCATGGCCTGGCGCGTTGAAAGCCGCGGCCCGCGCGAGTGCAGTTGGGGCCGCATCGAGCATTTTTCCCGCCTCCTCCTTTTCCTCCGCATATCTTCTCCCCCGATGTTCTCCTCCTCCTCCTCCTGCCGCTCCTCCTCCGGCTACTCTCGCACCTCCTGCTCCATCTACTCGAACAGTAGTTCACCTCTTCCTTTAGCAAGTATGTTGGATGTGGGAGGGCCTTGTTTTCCAATGCCGTATGGTTTATGGGCTAACCTCCTGCGCCCGCTATAATACACGCGCCGCTCGTAGACATAACTTCCGCTCTACGGTACATCATTTGTCTTGCACCATCCGTTTTGTATGTCTGGTCGGTATCGGAGCAGCCCGTCCCGCGACCACTCGCCGCTACGGTTGGCGAGTTTGTCCTCCCTTTCAGGCGGCGAGCGTTCTACATCGACTCCAGTGTCGGCCCACTCCACATTCTGCTTCACCACGATGCTGTTCGTCCACCTCGTTTCGGCGGGCGCCGAGCTTCGAAGAGCCAGCGGGATCCCGTCGACCCAGCCTTCCCAGGACCATCCAGGGAAACCTAGCACCATTACCTGGACAATTACATCCGCAAGAAGGACGGCGGTCCCCACCATCCACCGCCCCCCCCCGGGCACTTCCGAAATGTGTTTGGGATGTTCGGGGGCCGTTCGTCGTCACAGCCCGCAGTTGTGACCGCTTCCGTCAGCGTCAGACCGTCGAGCGATCCGGCTTCCACGTTCACGATGTGGGCACAGGGCCCCGAGTTATTTGCAATTGTGTTGTGGATGTTTCTTGGGGGATGAGGAAAACGACGCGCCGCCCCAATTGCATCCACTGGTGGGTGTAGCCGACTATGTCAAGCGGCCGTCATCCGACGCACACATCGCCGGCGTCGGCAGAGCGCACCGGGTTCTCCGAAACTGCGCTGTGGAAGCCGGGGGAGGCGCGAACAGGCAAGGGCGGGGTACACAGGGTCGGGCAATTATGATGCCATTCTTCGCGGGTTGTTACACAAGCTTGGGGTTGCACGTAATCGGTCCTTCGGGACATACTTCTGAATTTCACTTGCGCGACAGCGCCGCGGGGGCATGTCCAGCAGCGGGTTTCAACTCTGGCGCCGACTCCGACGCCGTCGGCTCACTCGGCGAAGAAGTCGCCGCCAACGACCCCAAATTGAGCGAAGTTCCGATGGGGCAGCGCGCCTCGCGCATCTTTCGGGGCCACGAGCGCGCCGAGGCCCGATGACGCCGCTGCGGCGACGACAGGCCCGCGCGCCGTGCGCGGGGGGTCATCGATCGCAAGGGTAAAGGCGGGGGCAATTGCCACCGCGCTATCCTGGCCGACTTGTCCGACACATACCTCCGCGAAGTCCTCGCCGGCTTCGGGGGGGGGCAAGGGCAGGGAAACGGCGAGCATCGGCCCAGTGGATTGCGGCCCAGCCGACAAGGCAATCATTGGGCCCAGACGGAATGCTTCTCAACTCGCAATTGTCACTAGTGCGATTCAGGGGGGCACCTCGCGCAGGCAAGGGCGCGCCCCCATCTTCAACGCCCCGGCCACAGCAGCGCCGCCGCCGCCGATGCCAGCATCCTCGCCGCTTGCGCACCAGGGGCACCGCGGGGCGCTTGGACCAGCCGCTCAACTGCCAGCACCAGGTGCTTATTCGGTCAGTATGACAAGGGAAACCCACGGGGCGCCCGAACCTGTGGTTCTGGGGGCCGAGCACGGCAATCCCCCGCCCCAAGGAAGGCGGCCAGGCGACTCCATCATCGGCAACTGCGCGGCCAGCGCCGGCAGCAGCAGGTCCCAGCGATCTGCCCGACGGTTCCTGGGCAGTTGGCCAGGGACACTAGTCGAGCTAGGCGGACACTTCGTTGCCCTCATCGGCTGCGCCCGACCCTCGCGAGGCCGATGCTCGGCGACAACGCGAGAAAACGGACGACCTCGTGAGCCGCGCGCGACAGGACTCTTCTCAACTTACGGATAGGGCGACTACGTCTCGCGGCAGGACTGGGGAACGCAGCAGCTACAGCGCCCACGGCTCCAGCAACGTCCGTGGCACCACCATCGCCGACGGCGCAGCGTTGGGCCCTGGGCCGGAGTGGCTGGCGCTTTCCCGCTGGGGCCGTAGCAAGGGCGCGGCTGGGTAAGCGACGTCGATGCCCGAGCAGCTGCGCTGGGTGCCCCACCTGCCGACGTGCAGTTGCCGAGCTGGGCCCGCGTGCCTTCGGTTTCAGCGCGAGGCCCCATCGCGCCATGGGGATCGAGCTCCACGCGGCAACCGCAGTCCGCGCCAGTGGCCCTGTCGCCGCCGGTGCCAGAGCGATCTGGCGTTTTTCAACCGCGCGTTCCCGTTGACGTGAGCCAGTCATCTGGGGGGGCGGCCGCGCGCTTCGCCAGCCGCGACATTTGGGCGTCGGGGGGCGCGCGACCCGAGCGCGGAGCAGGCTCCGCGCTCGATTGCTATCAACGACGACGCCTCGACGAGCTCCACGGCGCCCAGCTACCACTTGATCCTTTTATTAGCCGCGCGGAGTTGGCTCGAACCTCTTACTAATCCCAGCCTGCGCCAGCTGTCGCGGCAGCTGCACCCCGCGCCGCGGTTTTCAACGGCGACGACCGGGAATGTCCTAGCTGCGTCGTGGCTCGCGCGCATGGTGATCGAGTGGTGCGCTTGCAGCGCCGCCGAAACTTGCGCCGGGCACGCTGCCGACAGCTCGCGCAGTAGACCTGCGCCCACTTGGCGCGCCTGCCCGGCGCGCCGCGGCCCGCCCTGCGCCGTCGCCGAGTTCGGCTCGATTGGTGTATATCTCGCGACAGCGGGCCCAGCAGTTGCGTCGACAGTCTGCGCTGCAGGCCCTGGCGTTCCAGGCCCGGCGCCCCCGGCGTTGGGGATGACCGATGCCAGACAACAGCGCGATTGAGGGGGCGCCACCGCGACAGGACACCGCTCCGACTCCTCGGCTCGCGCAGACACCCGGGACACCGCGGCAGAATCGCACGCCATTTTTGGCAATGCTTCCAGCGTTGCATCTGCTGCCGACGCGGCAGCGCTGTGCGACGACGTTCCTGCGACGGTCTACGTTGCCAGGTGCAGGCCCTAGTCCACCGACCGACTTACCCTGCTACCTGGCGAGCGCCGACTTTTCTGGCGGCCAGCCCGGCGCAGTGGCGGGCGCCGTCGCTCGGGGCGTCCTGGGCCCAACCTCCGGGGGAAACGCTTCGCGATGAGCCTGGCCGACGAAGCCGCGAAGGATGGGCTTCAACCCGCAGAGGAGAGGCTGACGCCACCACTTTTACGCGGCAGGAGTGGGCAACGGCCCATCGGGGGGCGCACGGCCTCGTCGCAGTCGCCACCGGCGACGGCGGGGCCTCCCAGCATGGCGCGCGTGTTTCTGCAGCGGTGGGCGACGG